CCCCCCCCCCCCCCCCCCCCCCCAAAAAAAAATTAATTCTACACAGTCTACTGTGACTGACACCTTATTTTACAAATTCTTAGAGTATTGTCCTAAGGAAGGCACTGCAATCTAGAAGAGTAGTAAGAGTTCACTAACAGAGGCTTCCCAAACAGAAATCTACTCTTTTCCACTGCCCAATTGTGGTCCACAATTCAAAAGTAATTTTTGACGCTACCCATTCTGGAAGTCTACTAGTTTGCAAGGCAACTGTTGTGTTTTTCCAATTACTATCCATCAGCAGCAAGATAAGTAACATTACTAAATCTTTATAGCTTTTCTCCAAATAATGGTGTGATCAGAAGCTAGACAAGATGCAATTACAAAATTAGTAACAACTGTGCCTCAGTACTTTTTACCAGAATTGCCAGTTATCTTACCACCTCACCGTAACCAGGAACTTACAAAGTTTAGTACTGAAGAGTTTTTGGACTAAGCTGAGTATATGTCTTGCTTCAGTCTTCTGATTTACCTGAAATATGACATCAAAATTAAAGAAAAAAAGTTGGTATCTGTCATTTAGATGTTCCAAGTAAGCATGCTTTACTTCTCAAATAAAATTAATTCTCAGAATAAGACATGAACATGTATACCAACACATTCCACAGCCTACATATACATGTAGTGCAGCAAAAGCCAGACAGAACAATTCATATTCCATATGCAATGTAACTACCAGACATCACAAATCATAGAACCTGATGAAAACCTAGCCCATCATACAAAAGTGTCCTTTCCCTCCTTTTAAATGATGCTTCAATTCTTTCAAAATTGTGCTCTATTTAGATTTCTTTTTTGTCACATCTTCTCTCTCAACCTAAACTCTACTCATAAACATTTCTCTCACCAAAAATACTTAAGATATTTTGCATATCAAATGCTTTCTTATGCCTGCTCACTAAAATTAGTGGGTGTGCATCTAAATAATGAAATAAAAAACTGTACCTATTAAAAGTTATTCCTGAATCTAAAATTAGTTAGTTTGCCGAACAATTTTCTTCGTGATTCTAGGCAATTTACTTCTCTATTTTGCCGTGCTTTTTTCACTTATGGAGTGAAGGTAATGCTTATTTTTTGAATGTTTTGTTGGGTGAAATGGTTTATAAGGTTAAATTTGTATTTGCAACATTATTACATCCACAGTTCAGAGCTATTGTGAGTGCAAAAATATGCTATTAAATCAAAAGGATTTGACCATTTGTTTCTCATTTTAGAATCCAGCCTTACAAAAGCACATACGTTTTTTAAAACAGACTTTGTTTTAACTATATATCTTTTAAATTACTTACTGGTTCTTCTTTAACCACCAGGCACAAATCACCATCGCTGGTACGAGTGCCAAACCCATTCAGTGAGGACCCAACCAAAAATAGTCTGCTCTCTGTAATGGAAGAATCACAGAATAAAAACTGGTGTGGCATGTCATAGATTAAGAGGAGGGAAGAACCATGAACCTGAAGAACATTCAAACTGATACTAAGTAATCAAATTCAAAACATACGTGGAAAGATTAGCTGAATTTCCCTCTGGAGTTCTGTTCTGCAGAGCTCTTTTCTGTTCAAATCACAGGTCTGTTGCTGACATGCTTGAAACAACTCCAAAACCTGCTGACTTAACTTGACACACACATTCAAAAGGTAAAGATACAGAAAAGTGAACATTCTTTCCTGTCAGAGATGCAATTACATAAAAGAGAGCAGATTGCATTAAAAAAAAATAAATCCAGCATTTCACATGACTTATTCTGTTGTCTAGAGTTTTACCACACTTGAATTCATATTGAACAACTCCCCAGAAAACATTTCTGCAAAGTTTACAAATTTAAATTTGTTCAATCTATTCAAATATCTATCCACAGAAAATTTTTGCGTCATCAGCATCTGCAGCCTTTCAGGGAATAATAAGAAGTGAAAGACCAGAGATATCTTCTGCTGACTTTAATGTCAACAGATTCCCTACCAGCAATAGGGAGAAAAATAAATATTAAAACTGATTTAAGTTAGCTTTATTTTTTTATCCCAAACTATTAAAGTAGTAGTCAGATCTTTGGTGGATGGAGGTATTAACCGTTTCTCTTTCACAACATTGTTAATATGCTATATAAAAAGAGGCTTATTTACACTAAAAAAAAAAAGTCATGTTTGTGCAGATAAAGTATGAAGACTGATTTAGCTACAATTTTTTCTTAATTAAAAGAGAGGAAAAAACACAGTTCTAACTCCACTGTCCACCTAAAGAGGACATCCCCTTCTCCATTCCAGGACAGCTAGGGCAGTAACTTTTCTCTACCTCTCTTCAGAACGAGATGACATCTTTATAGGCCCAATACTGTATTTATTCATAATGGGCTTCTCTCACATTACTAGAGTGTGGGTTTGGTGTCCCCCCCCCGCATCAGGATTCTCCCTGCTCCCCAGTCATGTGACAAATAGACCATCCCTCCAATTTCTACTTCCTGGAGCAGACATGCAGGTTTCCTGATAATTAGGATAGAAACCAAACACCACAAGCAAATACCACGCCTACCCCCCCAAAAATGCTCCAAACCCAACCACACACAAGGAGGCTACATAGTACCATAGTCGCAGCTACATTTATCAACAACGACAGCTCAGCGATAGAGACCCCATAACACTACCAAAGAACCTTAAAGAAATTTTTGCGGTCTACCACAGCACCTCTGGACCCTGCCTACTCAGAAGGCAGATGTAAAGCACAGGCATAGAAAGATATTACCTTATCTTTGGCCACAGGGAGCGCGGTTTCTATGGGGTCTGGAAACAAAGTATCTCGCAATGGAGGGACACATCCAGTCACATTTGGTACGAAACGCGCATGGAACAGTGGAGACTGAATTGATCCTGGGAAGGAGTATCTACGTTCTTCTGGTAAAGGCACTGCTTGGTTAACTACAGGTGTTTCAGAATGATGTGACTGAAACCGTCGACGTTTGGTATCATGCGGAAGACTTTGTTCACTTCGTCTCCTAAAAAAGAGGCAGTAGTTCAGTAAAAGCAAGTATTCTACAGAATAAAAGGCGTGCCCATCCTAGATATTAGGTGAAATAAATCTTGAATGGGAAAAGAGAATACAACTGCAAAAGTGCAGCTACTCTTGAAGTGAATCGATGCAGCTGTTTTATAAGACTGCCTGTATTAACCAATTGAAACCTAAGTGGCAAGGTCAGTCAAGCAGGACAGCTCAGAAAGCTGGTCATATTATTTCGGTGACAACATGCCTTTAAAAAAAAAAAAAAAATGGTACATACAGACTATGTAAGGGTACTTTTCTTTTAAATCAGCATAAGTGCAGTGAGAAGTTTTGTGAGTTTTGAATACCCAGTGATGAATAAAACAAATTCGGTAGTGGAGAGGGGAGGAAAAGAAACATCACAATAGCCATTCAAAATGTAGCATTTGTCTGTGTCTTAAGATTGTACAGACAGTAAACTACGTAAGCTAGGCAAAATGGGAACACTGTTCATTTGACAAATTGAACCAATGATTGTATTAAGTTAGGCGGGTCATAAACCTAATGTCTCATTTTCAAACACTAGTCTGTATTTCCTCATCAAGTCATTTGTCACAGAAGTTCAAATATATTTGAAGAGATATAGTGACTTTACAGACAGCCCCTTGGCATCTGTACTCTTCATTAAGAAAAAGTTGTACTGAAAGCTGACCAGTGGCTGAACACCGTGGTCCACCCACAGTAAAGATTAAGAGAGGACATTCACATTTTATTTATACATCAAGTATTGCATGAAGTTAACCAGCATGGGGGTACTCACTTTTTTGTAATTAAAAAGCATGAAATCAAATGCTGATATGTATCAATGAATTAACTATTAAAAAAACTACACTCATTTCTTGTAGTCAGAAAAGCTGGCATTGAAGCAGTTTGGGGACCTGGACAGATAATACTATCAGTAATAGAAATTTAACAGAGGAAAACTGAAATGATGACTTGAGGTCTCAGATCAGAGAAGGTCTGGTAACATTACCTACCAGCAATCTTAAAGGAACTCATAATGTAACATTAAATCAAAACATAATGTTGTTTCACTCTGTTTTGACTGACAATAACTTCCATGAACTCATGTTCAGCAAAAATACCTTAGGAAGAGTTGACTCAAGATCTAAGGATTAACTAGGTGGCTGCAAATCTCCTAACATAACATAGCTTTCCATAAACCAGACTGGGCAAGAAGAAAACATGCATGCAGCAAGAAACGAGGAACTTCCTTAGCTCACGTGATAGTTATATACTCAACTAGAACTTAATGCCATATATTTAATTGTACTTATTTTCTCATCTGTTAAATCTGGAAGAGAAATAGCATACAGGAAGTAGTTCTGAAGACAGATTACATAAAGCTTCTTCCCTTATCAGCTGATTCACAGAATTGCTACAAACACGTATCAACTACTATTTCTGAACTAGTAAAAGAAAATAACTGTTAAAAGAAAATAAACCCATACACTCATCTGAAATGTCCTCTTTTGTTGCAACTGAAGTAACAAAGGAACATAAATTCAAGTTTAGTTTTCTGAAAAGTAGAAAAACTGTTTCCATAAAATTCCCCTTGAAAAAAGAACTTACATATGCTTGAATTTAGCACTTTGTATTTGAAAAGTAAAGTATCACATAATTAACAAAATCAGGAGAAACATCTATAGTGTGTAATTAGAAAAACATCACAATTCCCATAAAACACTGAGGATGCAGTCTTAACTTGACAAATTAACAGGAAGAGAACACTCAATTTATTGGCACAGCCAAGCAGTGAAGCACACACAGACTACAATCTATTGTAGTATCAAAATAAAACTCGTAAGTCACAGATCTGTAAGGCTACAGCTGTTGGAAGAGAAAAACTACACATACTAAGTCACTAGAATTCTCAAAAACAGGTACACGAATGGTTCAAAGAGCTACGACATGGCCTGTTTCACTAAAAAACCATTTTATTCTCAATTCTTGCAATTTCTAACAAAATTCAAGTTACACAAAAAAAATTATATTACACAAGCTTCACTGTGGGTACATTACAACCAGAATTAATCACACAGACACAAAGAACTTACTTTCTTCCTCGGAATGATGTGGGGACATCGGATACATGTACTGGACCACCATTTCCATAAGTCATTGGCTGCAGTGTAACAGCTGGAACAGTCACAAGATTCCCGCTCAGAAGAGCCCTGGAAAGACTACAGTCCGTAACTGTTATTCATACGATAACTACAATGCTTTTTATGGGTTGGTAGTTTTTCTTAAGTGAGTATGAAACTCAACAACTCATGTAATTTTTTTCTTAGAAGAAATAAATCTCTCTTTTCTATCCAAAATGAAGATATATTTCAGTATATATTTTTCATTGAAAAACAGGATATGGTCATTCTTCACAGCACACGTGTAAGAAGAAGTTAGCAAACAAATTAACTTATGGTACTGTTAAATTTAAGAGCCTAAACAGCACTGTGGTGTCTTCAAATCCAGCCCCCAGAATAAATGTTCCTTTCTCTTCTTATCTCCTCCCTGTTTTCCCCAGTAAACAAATACAATTGAAGATCTTTAAAACTGAACTGTGCATTATTAACCCTAAGCAGTGCAACAGCATCTCATACATTACGCACCGTGCAGGAGAACACTAAAACTTGCAGGTCACTAACAGAAACAGTACAGCTTTGTTTTACATATGAAGCCTTCCTATTTTTTTAAGTTTAATACAGTTTAATGTTAAAAAAAGTGAAAAACACCCTCTATAAACAGAAATAGTTCTTTCAAAAGACCGTTAACTCTCTTTTTCAACCCAACCCCCACTATCAAATCTTATTGTACTTACGCTGCATTCTGAAAATTAAACTGAGCATCAGTACTTTGCTGGTGAGAGACAAGGGCAGGTGGTGTATTTAGAGGAAGCTTAGTGAAGAAATTACTCTGTTGCTGATGTTTTGGAGGGAAGGGTGGACGACCCAAGTTGGAGGAATTTGGGAACATGCTCCTTTCTACTTGAAGTGAACATGTATCCTCCTACCTGCATTAAAAAAAAAGAAAAAAAGAAAAAAAAAATAGAAATTACGCAATGAGAAATACTAGCTACCTTTTAAACTCTTGGTTTAAGTGTTCAAATAATCTAGAATATAAAAGAATTGTGATTGTGGGCTAGTTTTATCTCCTTTCAGGACAAGACACTAAATAAAAAAACTTATACTCTTAAGTTTCACAATTACTACTTAATTTATGTTTAAAAGTGAATTTTTATTTGCTCCCTTCCATTTTAAGTTTAATTTTAGAAAAATTACATGGCACAAGATGTAAAAGTTTTTATCTCAAGGAACAATAACATATTACATTGGAATATGTTTCTCATTTCAAACATTCTACAATCGGGCTCACAATATATGGAAAGAAACACTTGACTATATCATAAGAACGTGAAGATGCAGCTGATCATGAACTATAAGTAAAATTAATTTTTTTTCCATTACATGATGTGCAAAGAAGCAGTCAAATGATTACAGCAATTAGAAAGTAATCCACTCGTGCTTTAAGAATATCATATATATAGTGTTATTTTATGTTTGTGCTTACTGAATGGATTCTGTGATAGAAAAATGTAGGTTTAGTATCTTTTAAATCTAAAATTGCTTCTGGCACAACTGACTGCTGTTTGATCTCGTACGATTATATGCATTATACATTAGCAGAAGGGTTGGATGAAAAAGAAAATCTTTGCCTCTACAATAGGTTAAACTGTTTATTGTACCCATTTTGCAACTCATCAGTATTTTACCTTAAGTTCAACTTATATGTTGGAAACAATGAAAGTTCAGACTTTACATTGGAAAAAACATATCAGAAGATTTTTTTAAAACCAATTATTGGTTCTGCATGTATCTCTTAGCTGCAGTGAAAACCTGACATTATTTTCAAGTTTCTTCACTTGTTTTTTACTTCAGTCTTAAATAAGAATCCTGCAAACAAAGATGTGTCACTGACAAACACAGTTGTACATGGTTGATCTCAATACTCTGCATATGACTATTCACCCAACTAGTGCAATACAGGGATTCAAGTACAAGAGGAAGAAATTTTTTCAAACAACTTTTAACTGGAACACTTAGAAGTCATAAGAGCAATGCAGTATTTCCCTAACTGTTACATAAAAACCTTTTTATCAACCTAATGCTTCAGTTATACAATTGGAAAAAGTGCTGATAGATCCATGCCCTGGCATGGAAATCCTATCGCCACACAGTAGTCTAAGTTTGGAATAAAATTAAAGTGTCGCTTTTAGGTTCTCTCAATTACCAAACTACATACGAAATATATAAAATTGTATTAACAGCTACATTAATAGGCACTCTTTTAAACACTGAGATAAAATCAGTTATTCCTAATTTTACTGTAGTAAGGTCTCACTGTTACCACAGCCTTGAAATCTTCTTTCACCTACCACTATGGACGGTTGTCATCTTTTAACCTCCTCGGACAGACATTATCACAGAAGACAGGCAAGTATGTACCAAGAAGTTTATTTGCTCAGGTTTGACTTTGTTCCTTACTTCCAGTGATGGCAACCCACACCAGGGAAAACTCAGTACTACCTACAAGGACATCACTGTACTAGCTCTAAGAAAAGGCTGCTGAGATTACAAGGACATCACCGTACTAGCTCTAAGAAAAGGCTGCTGAGATTAGCGCGCTCTCAGTTTTTTCTCTTCTTTTTTTACGGGGGGG